CTGCACCCCCATACCCCCAGCCCTCTGCCCTGAACCCCCCACACCCCAACACACACCCAGCCCTCTGCCCTGATCCCTGAACCCCCCACACACACACCCCAGCCTTCTGCCCTGCACCCCCTCCACCAGCCCTCTGCCCTGACCCCTGAAACACCCATCCCCAGGTCTGGGGTCCCGGCCGCAGGCCCTACTCAGCCCGCTGCCGGCCTAGGTGAACAGAACCCCAGGCTGGCAGCGAGCTGAGCAGGCTGGTGGCGTAAGATCAGCATTTTAATTTAATTTTAAATGACGCTTCTTAAACATTTTGAAAACCTTGTTTACTTTACGTACAATAGTTTAGTTATATAATATAGACTTATAGAAAGAGACCTTCTAAAAACGTTAAAATGTATTACTGGCACACGAAACCTTACATTAGAGTGAATAAATGAAGACTCGGCACACCACTTCTGAAAGGTTGCCGACCCCTGCTCTAGTGAATCTTTGTAATGATCCTGCAAAGCCCCCAGGTCCAGGAGTTCTATCCCACTCTCAGTAAAGTGGGATCAAATATCTGCTCGGTATAAGGGGAAAAGAAGGTGGAAGGTGTAGCCATATTCTGGTAACTTTGTTCTATATGGCGGGTTTTTATTGGTGCTGGTGCTATCTTGCCACCCCCAAACCATTACTGACTCCAACATCTCTGTGAAGACTCCAAACTGTTTTGATGAGTTTTGGACATCTTTGATATTCTCTCAGGCACCATCGCTGCAGACAAAACTATGTAATAGTTTCCATTGCAACGCTTTGTCTTCAGCTGCTGCTAACTTTCTCAAACTTTCTCTTCTGGGCTGAAATTTCCACCGTGATATTTTATTAGCTTTGAGCAAATCTGGTTCAGCCATTTGGGAAACAAACCCATAATGTATAGAAAATTCTTGAAAGAGATGGTTTTGAACAGCCCTACAGTCAAAATAGCTGGGTTAGAGAATTGAACTATGGCATGGAAATAGCCCTCAGCTGACAAGAAGCGCCTTTAAGTCTCTCTGTGAAAATGGGGTTTGATTTGAACAAGTTATGCATGTTTGAAAATAGCATGCTCTGCAATGGAGCAATAGCATGCTCTGCAATGGAGTTGTCGTATTTCTCACTGCTGTCATTATTATGGTGGTGGCAAGAGACCCCGTCATGCCAGGAGCTGTACGCTCACAGAGAAACACACAGCCCCTGCTGTAGAGAGCTTACAGTCTAAATAGACAAGACCGATGGGGGGGGGGGGGTAGGAATCGGAGACGCAGAAAGGTGAGGGCCTTGCCCAATGTCACAGAGCAGGGAATAGAGCCCAAGTCTCCTGGTTCCCAGTGCCCTCTCCACTAGGCGACACTGCCTGGCTCACTACGTGTGCACTTTGTAAAGTAGGCTAAGGGAAATGGTTCATGGCAGCAGTTGCTTAGATCACTGCAGATCTAGTACGGCACATCAATGTAACGTGTGCACGAGCGCTTCACAGGCAGGTAGGAAGATAGGTCCTGCCCAGGAGAGCTGAAAAATCCTAAACGGAGAAAACTCAGACAAAGAGAGAGAGGTTGGGGACAGGGCTTGACGTTAAAGCCCAAGTGATTGAGCACTTTGAGCTGGTAGAGTCCAGAGAGCAAACACGATCATACTGAACCACTGCAGACTGTCTGGGCTGGGCCGTGGGCGGCCGGTGGGCACTGGTTAGTTACCGAGTTGCCATCAGGAGACGTGTAGTGTAGTCGGGGTTGAGCTGGGTCGGGATACCAGGAAGTCCGAGTCAGGCACCAGGTGACAGAAAAGAGCCAAGTAGCAGAGTTGGGAAGGAACTGGGGACAGGAACCAGAGTCTAAGGTTCACAGTAAGGCGAGGTCTAGCGCGGAAGCAAGGAGGCAGTCTGTGTCCTTGCTCAGACAGCTCCCTGTAATGGCTTGCTGGCTTATATACCGGCGTGGGCCAATCAGTGAGCTGCAGGGCTGCCACTCAGGCTCCGCTGAGTGCTCCTTCCTGCAGTGTCTAGCTTCACCGGGTCCCCCAACAGAAACCTGGCCTGAGCTCCCGGTGGGGATGAAGCTTTGGGAGCCCAGAACCTCCATGGTCCCAGGTTCTCGTTCCAAAGGTGCTGACAGACTCTACAGTGAGGGGTGCTCCAGTCTGGTGACTCATGTTGGCAGAGCTTGGAAGAGAGCCACCACCTTTCTTCCCCCCCGTTTCACCCCTGAGTACCACGGCCTTTTAAAATGTCATTTGTAACGATTATACGGTGATACGAGCAAGACAGGATTACGATGCCAACTAAGCAGGGACAGGTGGCTGGGGGCGGGGGGGCAGGCACGAAGAAAGGGAATCTGGAGGGGAGATCGGGATGGCGGGAAGAGGGAGACTGCTCTGTGTGCAGGGAGCGGTATGAAGTGAGTGATTGTGCTGAGAGAGTCCAGCAACAACTGTTGTTAAAGGCAAGGTTGTGGTAGCAGGGCAGGATCTGAAGCAGCAACAAATGGTCTTTTTTGGACAGGCGTTTTTCTCGTTAGCAGCTGCATGAAATGACACAAAGCTGAAATGTTTGCCAGTAGCTGCCCCTGCAGATGGGGAGCCCCTTGCAAAGGTTTCCTGTTCATAGCCAGGCTGAGAACATGTGTTCCGAATCCCAACTCTCCTGGGTCTTTCAAGCTTTTATGGGGTGAGCATGTGAGATTTTCCATTCAGTTACAGGAATGAGCATGGACAGAGGCAGCTCTTTAATATTTCCAATCTGCTCTGCCTTTGATCTGCACGAACTGGCAGATTTACAGAGCTTCCCCAATTGCTCTTTGGGGTTTTTAGCTTTCCTTGCAAAATGATGATTGACACCACAGGCAGCCGGAAAGGTCACTTGTCCATTCCCCGTGTGGTACAATTACCCTGACAGGGGGCAGAGTTATCCTAACGTTCACATCTACCTCCTCCTCTGCAGCCACCTCTGAATGCACAGATGCTGGCCCAGCGCCAGCGAGAGCTGTACAGCCAGCAGCATCGGCAGCGGCAGCTAATGCAGCAGCGAGCCATGTTAATGAGACAGCAGAGCTTCGGGAACAACCTTCCTCCCTCGGCTGGACTCCCAGTGCAGATGGGGGCAGCTCGCCTCCCCCAGGCACCCCCACAGCAGTTCCCCTACCCCCCCAACTACGGTACGAATCCAGGAAACCCTCCCACCTCCACCAGCCCCTTTTCGCAGCTGGCGTCGAACCCTGAGGCAGCACTGGCCAGTCGCAGCAGCATGGTGAACAGAGGGATGATGGGGAACGTTGGAGGGCAGTTTGGTGCCGGGATGACCCCTCCCATGCAGCAGAACATCTTCCAGTACTCGGGGTCAGGTACGTCTTTGGCTGTGCCCTTAAAGTGGAGTCTGCGTTCAGTACCTGCTGCATCAGGTGATGCTTTAAGTATGTGGAGGTATGAGCGGGGGCAACAAATGATGCAAGTAAATAAAGATACTGCACAGCCAATGTACTGACTTCCATGTGTACCCCTTAGTCCCAAGTGGAGGAAATCCAGATCAGGTCATAATTACACAGTGCTTCTCATTCGCTGATCTCCAAGAGCTTTACAAAGGTGGGTAGGAATCATTATCCCCCATTTATATATGGGGAAACTGAGGCACAGAGCCAGGCTGTGACTTGCCCAAGGTTTGCAGCCCAGTTCTTCTGACTGCCAGTCCAGCTGTGTGTCCACTAGACCATGCTGCCTTTGCATTTCATTGGTGCCATTTACTTGAGGATCTCAGTGCATGTATTGCAAGTTCTGGGAAGGTACCCCATTCTTCAGGCTCCATGTTCCAAATGTACCCCCTCAGACCAAGTAGAGATCTCTAGAAGTTGATACCATGTAGGTAAATAATTGTATTTCCCTTTTAAAAAGAGAGAGAGAGAGAAATTCAGAGTGGCCATTTTAATTAAATTTCTTTAAATTTACATTCAGAAGCTAAATGTCTGAAAAAGGCCAAATCCTTGTGCGTGCTCTGATGAGGTATCGGAAATCAGCTGCAGATGGAGGTTATTTCCTGTGTACAGATTATGTGGGTGGCTCAGATTAAATCAGTGAGTTTGTCCAGAATTGGCTGCAGATGGACATCTTCGTACTGCACCTGCTCCACATGTTTTTACACTTAAGCAGCACTTTTCCATAATGTAAAAAGAATCCAGTTTGAATCTGGCAAGGTAGATCTGGTTTCTATAATTAATCAATAGAGACAATTACCCCACAGCTATCGCAGCTTTGGAAACCAACTAAAATTGTCCTGCAAAGTCAACAATGACATTGTCTTGTTCTCCAGTACAGTTACTTCAGCTCCTTCTCCAGGCAGCTGTGTTCTGGAATAATACCCCTCTGTTTATGGGAAGCAACTTCTGGGTTCCCCCCACCATTTGGCTACAAAATGCTGTATTCGGGTAATACAAATAACAACCAAAAAAAGGGGGAGGGAGGAGGCCTAAGATCAAAAGTCCAGGCTGATGCTTCAGATTTAACTCCAGCACCTGCAAAAAAGGGGAAATCCTCACAAGACACTACTGGAAGAGTAAGGTAATGCTCTGTGTGAGTAAAGGTGGCAGACTCGGGTCCCGAGGGATTAAGACCAAGCTTATTAAGTAACAGCGTGGTCGTCTGCACAGTTTGCAGTGAAGCCGTCTGTGTGTTGTTCCCAGGCATGGGTCAGCAAAGCGAGCCTGCATTCGCTCCATCACTCAGCCCCAGCAGCCCTCTGATGTCGCCGCAGATTCCTCCTTCGCAGAGCCCCATGCTCCAGTCAGCTCCACCGACCCCTGGGTACCAGTCCCCAGACATGAAGACTTGGCAGCAAGGAACAATGGGGAATAATAAGTAAGTCTAACCTAAGGTCAGAGTAATGCACACGCAGATGGTGGGATATCATCCCGCCTTCCCCACTCCAGGAGGAATAACTGGTCTGGAAGCAGGGGACCAAGGGTAACAAAACATGGCTTTATGGATATTGACATCACAGTGGTCAAGGGGATTGAACCTGGCATCTTCAGCACCAAAACCACAGGCTTCTTCCATAGCAGAGCTCCTTTAGCTGTGAGTTCGTAGTAGGTTGCGATGGTCCCTGAGCCCAGACACTAGAGGGAGACATGGTCACACATGCATTAAGTCAGTGTCACACACCAGCCCATCCCCTAACCACTCACCCTGCTGGTTAGCATGTTGGGTTCCCTGTAGAACATCCATCCAGCCGTGCACTTTAACTGTATAATTACCTTGTAAAAAACCAAATCATTGGCTTGCTTATAAAAGCAGTGAGCTCTCTCCAGTTTCTGAGTGAGTAATCCATGCTGGTGCTTGGGCATGGGGAGATACCACCAAGATACCATGGTGATAGATGCTTTATAGATACTTAACACAGGTTGTCACCTCCCACAGTGATGGGGCCTGCATGAGTAGGTGGAGACCAGGCTCTGTGCTAATCTCAGTCAGCATTTACACACCGTGAGCTTCTCCTTAGACTCTTATATGTTTGTATTTTGCCCTTGGATCGTCAGATTGCCAGAAGCCCACAGCAAATTGGTTTTCTAAATGAGCGCACACGTCCAGTAGCCCACAGAGCAATCCTTTTGCTTTAATTTAAAAAATGACATAATTAAGTCTTCATGAAAGCAAAGGACTTGTGGAAGCATTAATTCTGCCAATAAACCTCAGTTCTGCCCTGCTACTTTGGTGCTGGGCATCTTTGAGCAGAGATTTGCCAATCCACGACAAAAGTTGACTAGTGTAAGAAATCACCAGCTCCTATTCCTATTGTCTTAGCAAGTCTGTGACCACAGATCTCCAGAGTTAAAAAGCTACTAGTGTATGAATTGACTTTGCAACTTGGCCATATCCCTTTGGAACGGGCTGTCCTTTCACTGGACTAACACTCCAGCATACAGGTTTCAGAGTAGCAGCCGTGTTAGTCTGTATCCGCAAAAAGAACAGGAGTACTTGTGGCACCTTAGAGACTAACAAATTTATTAGAGCATAAGCTTTCGTGGGCTACAACCCACTTCTTCGGATGCATACAGCATACAGTAGTTGTGCTAATTCTGATGCAAGGGAGCCCAGAGAACAAGGCTGCTTTGTTCAGTGCAGTATTGTTGTGACTTGCCCTTTGATGGAAAGTTGTTTCAGTCTCTAGAACAGGAAAAGGGATGGGTCAGACTGTCAGGAGGGGAATTCGAATGAAGTACTGCACTGTGCCTCGTACTGTATAGCCTAGGCCTTTACTTTGTTTCTGAGCAGACCCACAGTCCAGCTAGGACTCCTTTAATAATGTCCTTTCTTGTCACCATTGTTTTTCATGCTCTATCCTCAGCCAGACTGATCAGACTGGACAAATGCTTGGTACAGTATAAACTGGGGCAGATATTTCCAAGACCTCACACAGTACCGTGCATGCTGTGGAAGAGCGCTCTAGTCTGCAAAGCATTTGCCCATGTTTCTGTGGGAGTCATTTTTGAACTTTGTCCCACTAGGTTTCTCTGCGGTGCCTTTGTTGTCAGCTGTGTTTCTAATTTCTAGCGTCCCTGTGCTTATAAACTGTGTGTTAGAATTCCTAGAAGTTCTGAGGAAGAAAGCAAGGTCTGTTCCTCATTGAATGGCTTTTTATATTCACTGGTTTTTATTACAGCTTGGAGTTGGACATTTTTTAATCCAGTAGAGGTTTGCCATTATGCACTAATGGTGCTTGGTTAGCAAGGCATTGGGCACTTTATGTGATCGGAATGTTTTAGACTGGCTAGGCGGCCAGCCACTGGGTAACAGAATCAGGTGTTTGAACAGGACTTTTGTTTTCTGTGGCTGTCTCTCTGCTAGCCATTCAGCCATTGGTAGGAGCAGTTTACGTAGCTGTGCTAGTGCAAACCCCCAGTGTAGACAGGGAAAGCCAGGATACACACCAGTTCTGCTTCCCCCTGCTTAAAACAGAGTTAAACTCCAATCATGGCTTTGCTTGCTCACCTGCACTTAGGTTGTACTGGCTACTGGCCACCAGTTGCTGAACTGTGCAAATCCCCAGGTAGACACAGTCTGTGAATCAGTGTATTTGTGCCCGGTGTAGTGTATATTTCTCACAGCCTCTTTCCCCCAACTACACTACAGAAATAACCATTTCTAAACACAGTTTGGAAGTGTGGGTGTGGCCCATCTGCATTGTGGTGGTGTTGCCCATGTGGACAGAAATCCCTCCATGAACCATGGGTGGATAACTAGGCTAAAAGATGGTTATAACAAGTTTATCTCTGATCACACAGGCAAGAGGAGGTTGTGCTATAAGGGAACATGACTAGGTTTCACTACAGTGTTTAAACGTGGGGGTTTCCCTTCTCTGTCCTATTTTCCTGTTGCACTTCAGATACTGCAGTGAAAAGCCCCCTAGAAATGCCTGTAAATTACGAAATGTCCTGTCTTGGTTCTGAGTCTAGAATAACACACACTCTGATCAGGAAGGCAATAAAAGCCTGCGAGGACCAACAGGAAATCTGTCTTGTATGGTCTGACCTGTTTACAGTATGCAGTAGGGTCAGCTAATGCCTGTACTGCAGCGCGATGATGCTCTGTGTTACATAAAAGAGCTAAGTACCCATGGTGGGGGGTGGGGTGCATCAGTGTGGTGATGGGGGAGGAAGGTATCATCCATCTCCCACCATTGCCTTCAGGAAACACAATTCCTCAGGCTCCTATCAATCTTGCCCCTCCCACTAAAGACTTCGATAGTGACAGCACCTCATACAAACTGGACACATTGCACTTCTCATAACACATGAACTAGGGGTCACCAAATTAAATTAATAGGCAGCAGGTTTAAAACAAACAAAAGGAAGTCTCTCTTCACACAATGCACCGTCAATCTGTGGAACTTCTTGCCAGAGGATGTTGTGAAGGCCAAGACTATAACAGGGTTTAAAAAAAGAACCAGATAAGTTCATGGAGGATAGGTCCGTCAATGGCTATTAGCCAGGATGGGCAGGGATGGTGTCCCTAGCCTCGGTTTGCCAGAAGCTGGGAATGGGCAATGGGATGGATCACTTGATGATTCTCTGTTCTGTTCATTTCCTCTGGGACACCTGGCATTGGCCACTGTTGGAAGACAGGATACTGGGCTAGATGGACCTTTAGTCTAACCCAGTGTGGCCGTTCTTATGTTCACTGCTCAGAGCTGATGAACTGGGATAGCAGAAACCAGTTAGGGCTTTTTCCATGTATCTTGCTGTATGTTCCTTGAAGGCCAGGCAGGACTCAACCCTGAATGTAAGTGCCGGGAGTAGCCCTCCCCATCACACAGATGGAAAGGAGGGTGTGTCCTACTGGATTCTCACCTGCTCTGGGGTTTTTGGTTTTTGCAGGATCCTCCAGCAGGTAGATTTCAGCATCAGAATGAACCATCCTTTGAGTTTTTTAAACTGCTGTGTTTCATGTTGGCTGTGGCTCAGATGCTAGCTTTTGTGGTTAATGGGTTACAGTGTTGTAAACTGAAGGGTAGATTCCCCAGCTGATGAAACAAAAAATAAATTAATGGATTCATAGATTCCAAGGCCAGAATCATTGTGATCATCTGGTCTTACCTGCTGTATCCCACAGGACAGAGAACTTCCCCACAATAATTCCTAGAGCACAGCTTTTAGAAAAACATCCCATCTGGATTTAAAAATTGTCACTACAACCCTTGGTAGATTGATTCAATGGTTAATTACACTCACTGTTAAAAAAATTATGCCTTATTTGCCATCTGAATTTGTCTAGTTTCAACTTCCAGCCATTGGATTAGGTTACATCTTTCTCTGTTAAACTGAAGAAACCATTATTAAATATTTGTTCCCCATATAGATATTTATAGATTGTGATCAAGTCACCCCTTAACTTTGCTTATTAAACTAAGGGCTGGTCCACACTGGGGCGGGGGATCGATATAGGAAACGCAACTTCAGCTACGAGAATAGCGTAGCTGAAGTCGACGTTTCCTATATCGAACTAAAAGTACCTACTTCAGGTCCACGCGGCGCAGGCAGGCTCCCCCGTCGACAGCGCTTCCTCCTCTCAGCGAGCAGGAGTTCCGCAGTCGACGGGGGAGCGCTTCTGGGATCGATCTATCGCGTCCAGATGAGACGCGATAAATCGATCCCAGAAGATCGATCTCTACCCGCCGAATTAGGTGGGTAGTGTGGACCAGCCCTAAGTAGATTGAGCTCCTTGAGTCTCTCTCTATAAGGCAGGTTTTCAAATCCTTTAATCATTCTCATGGCTCTTCTCTGACCCCGCTCCAATTTATCAACATCCTTCTTGAATTGTGGGCACCAGGACGGGACACAGTATTCCAGTAGCAGTTGCACCAGGGCCAAGTACAGAGGTAAAATAACCTCTCTCCTACTCAATGCCCTGTTTATGCATTCCACAAACTCCAACAAATCACTTCATGTCCTTTATTTCAGGGCTCGCTTTATTCTGAAACAGAGCAGGCAACTCAAAACCCTCTCAGCAGCCCTTCAGCCCTCATGTCCCTTCTCCAGAGCTTAGGCTATCCCTTAGACAGTTCCCTGGCCATATGGTCTCTGGGTTCTCAGTCTGTCCTGTGGAACTGCATTTCCCAGAATGTGCTGCTCTTAAAGGGCCCAAGGACTGTAATGGGATGGGCCTGTGCACCCCAAGGCCCAGGATTCTATTACAAATGTATTATTAATATTGCTGCTGTTTATTATTTTAAACAGCACAAGATGTTAGAAGACGTGGTCCCTGCTCCAGAGAGCAACAATCTAAATCTCAGACCTGACCCAACAAGACAAGCAGTAGAGAGGGAGTGGGACCCAGGGGTACAATTCACAGGGAATACTCAGCAGGATTAGAGAGGGGATGTGACCTCGGGATACAACTGGGGAGATCTCTGCTGGAACACTGTCCCCACTTCTGGTGTGCCTACGTTAAAAAGGAGGTTGAAAAATTGAAGAGAGCTCAGAGAAGAGCCATACAAATGATGCGAGGGCTGGAAAACTTGCCTCGCAGTGAGAGACTAAAGGAGCTCAATCTGTTTAGCTGGTTGAAGAGGCAGCGTAATCCCAGTCTGTAAGAACAGAACCGCCACAAGAAGTGCCTGCTGCGAAAGGGCTCTTTAACCTGTCAGAAAAAGATTTGGAGGGACAATGGTTGGTTGACAGCTCTACTTGTTGGCTGATTTTTGTGGGTGTTGGGTGAGAAGTGTGTTTTGGTGAGAGGTTAGAGCGATTTGGCAGACGGAACCCAGACGTACCCCGGGAGTCCATGGAACTAGAAGGTCACGGATGATTTTTGTGTTCTCCACCATGAATTCCAAACAAGCCTGTCTTCTCGTGTCATTTGCTCAGTAATTTGGCCGAGACAGAAGAATCTCTTCACTGATTTGGTTTCAGGCTGATACAGTGCAGAACGGCTCCAGGGCAGTTGCTCCAATTAGGGGATAATCTCAATCTCTTTGTTATATATGAAGCAATAAACGGCTGCCCAGATTGATTAAGGTGCTCAGCCGCACTTGGGCATTTAATCAATCTCGGAGGCTGTTTGTTGGCGTGCTGCAAAGCAATACAGATTATGGCTGTTAGACAGCAAACCAGAGCAGGGCATTTTATTATTGTATTCTCTCTCCTCCTGCAAGAGCTGAGCTGCCTCTGGGATCTTCCACAGACAATACAGCTGAGGACTGGTGTCGGGGGCGGGTAGAAAGACACGATCTGATCTAACACGCACTGAAGTCAATGGAGAGTCTCCCGCTGACTTGGATGGGCTTTGGATCAGGTCCATACTGCTCTGGATGAAGGTCCAGCCCAGGCACTTACCATTTCCTTCCTCCCTTTCTGTAGGGGTCATTGCTGACGGATTTTCCTGGAGCTATATGTGTAAATGCTATAGAGAAGTGTTTCTCAAATGGTCAGTCCTGACCCACCAGTGGGTCGCGGGGCCCTAGGCAACTATAGACTTCTCCCGCCCCGGTGTGGAGGGGCTGCCGGGCGGGGCTGGAGTGAGCCTGCCCCACACTCACCCGCCAGCAGCAGCTCCTGTCCTGGCTCCCCACTCCGAACATCACGACGTGGCACACGTGGTCACAGTGCCACTTAGGTTTGGCCTGGCCACTCCTCTGGGACAAATTCAAGTGAGTGGTGGTGTGACCTGGTGCATGGGGTTGCAGTGCCACTCCAGTCTGGCTATGATGGAGGGGCAGGCGGGCCAAACCTGAGTGCTGCTGTGACCCCGTTGCTACGCCCAGCCCCGCGGGACAGGAGCCGCTGCTGTGGGGTGAGTGCAGGGCAGGCTCGCTCTCTAGTCCATTCTGGGCGATGCCAGGTGAAGGATACATGTATATAATGGTGGGTCACACACACAAAAAAAAGACAAAATGTGGCTGGCAGGGCACCTTAGTAACAAGTCCGGGAACCGCTGCTTTCCAGTGTTAGCAGAAGCATTAAGGAGGCAGTTGAATGAGGAGAGGGGGTTCTTGGATTCACTAGAGCCCTTAAGCGTGTGCTTCCATTTCATCAAAGCCAGTGACATTTAAGCACTTGCTTGAGAGCTTGGCTGAATCTGGGCCTCATTGGGCTGGAGCACAGGGAGCGAGACAGAGAGTCAGGCTCAATGGGGATGAGGGGTGATGTGATTGGACACCTTTTGACAGCGTCACCATCCTTGGTGAAAGGAGGATGTTAGATTTTTCTGGATGGTGATTGGCTGAAGTGTTTTTCTTGTATCCTATATGATACTTACACAGGTTACTAATGTCCATAGATTACCAGACACAGGTCTGGTCGGGCCCCCCCTGCTAGTGGCCCACCAGAGTGTTGTGAGGGGATCCAAACAATGACTCCCTCACCTGTTTTAAGCTTTTCTGGGTCTCAGCAGGCTACAGGCCTGTTTCTTCTCGTGGCCTCTCTGGCATACTTCCTGGGCATCAACTCTCTGTTATCCCCCTCCCAGCCCACCTGTCTTGGGCCCACAAGTCCAGCACTGACCCCCCAGATATCCCAGTAGCTTAAGCACACTCTCTCCCAAAATCTCACCAAAGGTGTTAGCCTTCTGGTTTCTCTCTTCAAGGGGCCATGTGGTATGTGTAGCACAGAACACACACAGACACTGCCCAGAGTTTTACAGCATTGTTGCTCTTTACTTAATAACCCAAGAAATACACAGATCTGTACAAAATAATATATCCTACATGTATTTTCCTGCCTCAGTTTCCTCACTACTCCAGTGCATTCTTTGGGCTGGGGCCAGGGGCGATCCAGCATCCTTCTGTTCCAGTGCATGGTTTATGGGCTGAAACGTGGAGTCTGTCCATCCGCTTCCCAAACATCCTAAGTGTCTCTCTGTGGGTCTTCCCGTGGCCCACCCAGTTTCTGTGGTGTCTTTGTTTCGCATTTGGGGATTTTCTGCTGTTCCAAATGCCAACTCTGACAGAGGGAAGGTGGAGGGAATTGCTTTCCCCTCGGATGCAGTTACTCTTTTTTTTCTGCCCAGGTAAGACCTATTCAGGTGCTGATAGCCCTTAACCTATTGCCTAGTCTCCCTGTTCTGGCAGAGACCTGCATCCAGCCTCGTAAGCCACAGTGAGTGGACCCACAGACCTAGGCTTTCCACGATGCGGCAATTTAGTGATAACTCCACCCATATCAACCAGAATTCATAAGTCGCACAGACAGAGCCTTCAAATCATCACACCGTTATACTTTTCATTTGGACTTTTGTAAATGTACAGCTGTATTTTTAGGGTTCCATTTGCAGGAGAGTACTTGCAACTCCCAGTGACTTCATCACACACCTCTGAGAGCAGAATTTGGCCTTTTACTTGTGGGATTTAAAGGGAAGAAAGCAATGAGGTTCTTTAGAAACTAAGTGAGATTTTATAGACACTGCTCTTAAGACAATGAGATCCTTTGTAGAGAACTTTTAAAGCAGCTGATGGAGTTTAATGTTAACCCTGCTATCAAATTCTGTAGGTTGGTTTAAACATTCTTGGGGAAAGGGTCACTCTATGTTAAATTCTGTAGGACATTTCCAGAAGGGTGGTATTTTCTTCAGTAGATAGAAGCAGGAAGTCATGAAATTCCTCCCCAGGGGAAAATAAGCCACAGAGATCTGTCTGCTGCAAACATTGCATCAGCTATTTTTAAAAAAGCCTTTATCACTCCAGATCCATTACCCCCCCACACCCCCTCCCCTTCCTTCTCTGTTACAGACATCTCTGTGGTTCCATTTCTGCAAGGATGCCTCTTGCTGGAGTCACTCTCCATGTTACAACTGGAAACCGAGCTCTGGCCTCTCTGAACTCCTGACTCTGTGTAATCCCTCTTTATTTTTTTGTCTGGTTTAACAGTGTATTCAGCCAAGCTGGGCAGAACCAGCCCACACCTGCGCAGCAGGGAATGTACAACAACATGAGCATCACCGTGTCCATGGCTGGAGGAAACACGAACGTCCAGAACATGAATCCAATGACTGGACAAATGCAGATGAGCTCACTGCAAATGCCCGGGATGAACTCCATGTGCTCTGAGCAGGTCAGTGCTGCAGCGTTCTCGTTCACCAGGCACTCCAGGAGCACGAACAGTGATGACGTCACTCCACTGACCATCAGCCAGTTTCACTGGGGGAGGGGGGGTTTCTCTTAACAGGTCTCTGCCCTTGTTAGGTGAATTTGTTTCTGGAGCTTTCTCCATTGGTGAGGCGCATGTGTCCCACACTAACTTTGTGGTGCTCTCCCTGGGAATTGCCCGACTCCCTGAGCCAAGGAGCTAATGGATTTATTGCATTTAAGCTTTGTGTTCCAGGGTTTTTGCATACCAGATGCTTGTTGCTATCACTCCCCGGCACTCTGCATCATGCACACCCCTACCTCTGCCGCCTGTTGTCTAGCATGCTGGGGGCCTGGAAATCCTGGCTCATGAGTCATTTGGTGCTTTTGTGCAGACTTAAAAAAATTTCCCTGGTGATCTCCCTTTTCTCTGGGATGTTTACCTTTAGGTTATCTCCTTCTTGTGCTTGAGAGGCAGGGATCTATTTCCCGTAGTACAGTTAGGTGTGTGACACTGGAGCAAAGGGCTGGAGGGAAGCAGGCAGAGGCCTCTCTCGCTTCACTGGCACCCACAGTTGTAAGCTTAGCTGTGTTTTGAAGCCTGGTGCAACCGACACCGGATTAGTCAAATTATGAGATAGTTACATCAGCTCACCAGGAGCTGACGGGCGTGCATTCAACTCTGCAAAGAGAGCGGTGGCTGCACTGAGAGTTCCTAGCTGCTAATGCCTCTTGTAGCCCCCGAGTGTGCGCTGAGGATTCCTTACTGCTAATTAAGGAGAACTTGACATTTCATGGGAAGATGAGGCAGATTTGTTCATATTTAGACACACCCAGGAAGTCCCCAGGTGGTGGGTCTAGATTGGTAAAACTCCCATGATGTCAGTGGGGGCGGGGCTGAACACTTTCAAAATTCCCAGCCAAAATGTCTGAGTGTAAAGTGATGGCTCCTTCAGATGCAGTATGTCTGCTTGGGTAAGGTACGAGGCCAGTGGGCTGGCTTTGGATCTTGTCTTCTAGAAGTCACCAAATCCTTGTTAAGTATCTTTTTCTAAAGCAGGATCCCTCCTGTTAATAACCAGTAAGTAACTGGTGTAATAACCAGCTCAGTACCATGGAAACTCGCCGTTCTTTCTAGAGCCTTTGGATCAAATTCAGTCCCAGGGCCAGCTGACACCACTCGCACTGAAGTCAGTAGCATGACCCCTGGTTACACCAGGGCTGACTCCGACCCCTGTCCTCTACAGCCAGCTTCTGCACCAACCTTCAGTCACAGAGGATGATGGTATAAAAGTGAACACAGACAGGTACATGCGCACATGCATCCCTTGGAGCCAGGCAGATATGGATCTCCTGTTGTTACACTCCGAAATGGTCAGAGAGGTCTCCTGGCCGCAGTTAGCTATAGCACTCATGCCCCTAGGAACTCGTTTCAGGAGACCATCCCTTCAGTGTCTGTGCAGAGTAGTGCGGGTGCCGGAGAACAAGCTGATTCACTACCCACCTGTGCACACTGAGGGCTGGGAGGTGCAGTTTGCACTGAGCCCTGCTAGAAAGCAGTGTGGAGCTGCACCAGCACGGAGGGAGCACTGGGAGAGATTCTGCCTCCAGGGGTACAGTCTCTTCCAGGATGTTTGGTGTCTGCAGCTGCTCACTTTGCATCATCTGTAAGGATGGTGCAGATTGCTTCCTCTAGTGGTGGGAGGCGTTCTAGAATCATAGAAACATAGGGTTGAAAGGGACCTCAAGAAGTCATCTAGTCCAGCCCCCTGAGCTGTGGCAGGACCAAGCAACCCTAGACCATCCCTGACAAGTGTTTGTCCCACCTGTTCTTAAACACCTCCAATGATGGGGGTTCCACAACCTCCCTTGGAAGCCCATTCCAGAGCTTTTCCTAATATCTAACCTAAATTTCCCTTGCTGCAGATTAAGCCCATTACTTCTTGTCCTATCATCAGTGGCCATGGAGAACAATTGATTCCCTGCCTTTTTTTAGAACAGCTGTTTATGTCTTTGAAGACAGTTATGTCCCCTCCTCAGGCTTCTTTTCTCAAGACTAAACAGGCCCAGTTTTTGTAACCTTTCCTCATAGGCCAGGTTTTCCAAACCTTTGATCATTTGTGTTGCTCTCCTCTGGATTCACTCCAGTTTATCCACATCTTTCTTAAAGAATGGTGCCCAGAAGTGGATGCTGTACTCCAGAGGAGGCCTCACCAGTGCCAAGTAGTGGCTCCATCTCCTCCCCAGCTCTTTCCAAGTAACTTGCGCGACCAAGGACCAAGGAGTGAGCAGTCCCCACCCACACTGCTGTTGTGGTGGGGGCGTGCAAGTGGCAAGGGAAGTTGCTTGCACATGCCCTCATGCCTGCACCAAGGGCCAAGTACAGTCTTGTCCAGTGCTTCTTTGTGGCGAGTAGTAGGCCTCTTTAGTAACCATTCGGTCTGAGGGAGATTCTCTCTCTGTTTCCAGGGCCAGACCTGAGATCTCGCAGGTCCAGAAGGGGCTTTAGCTGTTTGGGTTTGTGACTCAAGAATGTGGTAAAGCACCTTTGGGATCCGTTGCGTGACGAGAGGGATCTGTGCTGTATTGCTCTTGGCAGAATCGCCTTTAATTAGTTTCATCTGGGAGCATTTGTCTGTCTGCACTTAAAGCTTCTCTGAGCCATGCCTCCAACAGCTGACCTCTCCCAGCCTGTTCTGAAGGGATTCAGTCACGGGGGCTTTCTGAACGGCTCGTTATGGCTGCATTAAACAGTTTGGAAACCAGCCCTAATTGTACATTTGCTGTAGAGTGAGCTGGGAACCGAGGGAGCCTGGTTTGAAGACGCACTGACTCAGGCCCTGCTTCGTAGGCCAGATGTAGGTCATCGTGACCTGGCTAGCACAGGATTAGTCCCTGGTGTCATCTGACACATCAGTCTGGAAGCGATATGGAGGCTGAGCCGTTTGTTCTGCCCCTCCTGTCAGTTCAGTGGAGTTTCACGCTCCCCGGAGATAAGATGCTGTAGGGAACCACCAGCAGCCCAAGTGGTGGGTACAAGGGAGCTCTCCTCAGAAGGAACTCACTTGGATAATCTTAGTCCAGAGTGCGGTCAGTGAAGCAAACCAGCTTTGCAGCCCCTCCATGGCTTCATTCTGCTTCAGCAAATGGAGTGAGCCATCTCGTACAGCGGGGGCGCTGAGAGGCTGAGCTTGATGGAAGGAACTCAGGGAGCCCCAGCCATCCGCTTGGTTGTATTGCTTTAATTAAAACACTCACTGGCAACTTGCAGCAGGGAGTGAGCTGCTCCCGATGCTGCCTGCGGAGTCAGGAGTGCTGCTCACGCTCTGTCAGCACCACAACCAGGTCTGCCGCCCTGCCCTGGCATCCACGCCTCTCACCACGATAGCCACAGCATGGTTAAAGCTGGGAGAGGAGAATGAACTGTGCTCCCTGCACCCCTAGAAGGTTAAAATGGCAGAAGCTGTAGCTTGGGGAGGAGGTGGTGGGAAAAGATCAGGGAAGTAGTGATGGGGAAAAGGAGCCCAGCATTTCTAAATCTCTCCTTGGCTCAGAAATTCTGTTGTTCGCCTTTTGTGAGGCAAAGCAAAAGAACGCTGTAATAAAGAAGCTTAGTCCAACAATGTCCCACTCAGCTACTTCCCCGAGGCCATTCCAGCCTGTCACGTAGAGCGGGCCAGCATGTAGGCTGCACATACACAACCCAATGCTAGAGCTCTCCTGGGATCCCTCACTTTCTGCAGAGTTGACACAGGAGGATGGGGCACTGGGGAGAGAAAGCAGGTGAACCATCACTGAGCCTTGACCTTGCTTTGACAGGTAAATGACCCAGCGCTGAGACCCACCGGCCTTTACTGCAACCAACTTTCCTCCACTGACCTTTTGAAAACAGAAGCAGATGGGGCGCAGGTCAGTAAGAAACTCCTAAGCACAGACCCACCTGAGGTACAAAGAGGAGACGTTTGACATGTCTGGGTTGGTCACCTCAGTAACTGTAAACTTCTTGCACCTATTTTATCAGCGGGTTTGCCATCAGGGAAGGTTTCTGTAGTGGCAGAGAATAAATTGCAGGGCTCAGCCCAGTAGGGCCTTCTATTTTCTGTGTAGCGTAGAGCTAGAATCTGCACTTGATGACAACCACCTGCCTCAGAAATCTTGCTTTATTCTCCTACTCTGATTTAAGCCTGTATGGATCAAACCTCGTTGCTCTGGCAGGAAGGGGAAGTGTCCCCAGCAGTGTGGGGAGCACAGTCAGTGCAGTGAGCTGAGCTGGAAAAGTAATTGGACATTGGAGAGACAGGAGTCGCTAAAATCCTTATCGGCTCTGAGGCTGGCCCCAGGTACAGTGACAAACGAGAGAGGTTTCTGCTTTGGAAGGGCAAGACTTGCTCGTAGGACTATGGGAACATTTGCAGTCAGAGTCCTTGTCTCTGGGACACAATGTGTTGATCACGAGCCCCTTCATAATGGATCAGTGTGCACTTAGTGCTACGTTGGGAGGAGTCTGAGCTCGATTTGGTCTGTTCAGAGAAAGGGGCTCAGCACTTTCTGCAAATCAGGCCCTTTTAAGGTGTCTTAAGTTGGAAACCCAAAATAACAAGCAACTTTTGAGTATCTTGGGCCAAGTATTGCCATTCTGCCTTGCAGTACTGCCAGTTTCAGCGCAGCGCATGCATCTGGCCAGCAGTCTGGAAAGAACCAGCATTCTACCAGTTTGTTTAGAGATGACGTGTTCTGCTTCAATATGAAGTTCTCTTTGTTTCCCCCGTTTGCTGGTGAACTCTAATTGCACCTCGTGCTGCTCTTGTGTGCAGTCAGTCTGGCAAAATTCTGCTTGCCCGGGGCAAGGAATTTTGGGCTTTTGATGGGCTTATAAAAGAGCATCAAACAGTATACATTTTTCAGTAGCATTATCCTTAAAAAGCGTGGGTGAGTAGATTTTTGCCCCTGGGCTGGTTACCGTTTTCAAAATGGGTAATAACTTTTATTTTGTTTTAAATATGTATTTATGTGCCTCCTTGTGTTTTATGAATAACCCATTAAGTATTACAAATCAATTGTACCTGTCACCACTGATGCTGTTTGGTTTTTATTTTTTCATTTTGCTCAGTTTGGACAATGAAAATCAACTAATCAATTTCACACTTTTAATTTCCTAGTCAGTTTCACTTTGTGGCTCTTATGCATTAGCAGGATCCTGCAGTGTTTGATTTGCAAAGACTGTAGGGAAATGTTAACACCCAAACAAAACAAATCCTATTTTTATTGGAATAAATAAAGAAGGCAAATGTGTCCTGCCCCTAGGTTCTGACACACTTCAATCTTGGACCTAACTCTACCTTAGTATTGTCCCTTTGATATTCCCTTGCAGCGAGTGGGATGCCATGATGTACCCTATTCAGCAGCATAGCATAAGCATTTTACCTTGTGCCTCTGGTCTATTTGGCTGCAACTGAAGGGGTTTCAGCAGTATTAAAACAGGAGGAGATTGGTTTCCAGCCTTTGATACTGTGCTCCCCTCAGAGCAGGTGTCACGGACAAGATGGCTCTCAGCACAGAGTGATGGCTGGCCGGCCGGCAGCTGGAGACATGGGAATGCCAATTTTTTTTTTTTTTTTAATTAAAAACGTGTGAATCTTTCAGAGCTCTGATCCAAATGAGTGCAGTAGTTTTCTTTTTATAGGAAAAGAAGACAGAAGAGTTCTTCTCTGTGGTGACTACAGACTAGAGGAATTCTCTAGTGAGTTTCCACTTCACGTAGTACCCAGTCCATAAGCCAAGGGGCCTGTTCCTTTTTTCCTCTAAAAATCTCTCTTGTCTTTTGTGTCCCAGCAGGTACAACAGGTTCAGGTGTTTGCTGACGTGCAGTGTACAGTGAATCTGGTAGGTGGAGACCCTTACCTGAACCAGCCTGGTCCAATGAGCTCGCAGAAAAGCACGACAGGTCCTCAGACCCCTCAGGCCCAGCAGAAGAGCCTCCTTCAGCAGCTACTGACTGAATAACCGCTTTTAAAGGAATGTGAAATTTAAATAATAAGACATACAGAGATATATAAATATATATATATATTATATATTTTTCTGAGATTTTTGATATCTCAAACTGCAGCCATTCTTCAGCTCGTAGTGTTTGGAGCAAAAAGGTTTTTTTGTTTTGGGTTTTTTTGTTTTTGTTTTGTTTTTGTCTTTCGGGGGGGGGGGGTGTTGTTTGTTTGTTTTTGTAAAAGGCATTGGATGTTGGCAAAGTGACAAGGCAGGACAGTCGGTTTCTTGAGCCAAAATTACAGATGATTCTTATTTTTGTAATCAGTTGCTGGCATCTTACTCCAGACGAAGGTTTCTCGGGGAAGTGGGGAAGGGGATGGAGGAAGAAGCGAGTTGAAAGAGACTGCTTCGGAAGGAGGAAGATCATCTCAGTTTCAGCTGGATCTGTCACTGATTCGTGTCTCAGCCCAGTGGGAAGGTGGGGAAAGACACTGGACTTCTATCAGAAAGGCTGTTTTTATTCATGCTTAAAAAACCCAAACACCTTTTCTCCCCTCTGCCCCAGTCCGCTTGTGCGTACAATCAGCTTTTTCTAGCAATCGTGAGTTTGTCAGTTTTAAAGAAAAACAGAGAGTATTTTGACCCACCATTTTTTCCATGTTTTATGCTGGTGTTTAAAGCCTCCTAGCGAGAGAGGCCACAATGTGTATATTACATCGGGGGGAAAATAATAATAAAAAGACAAAAAAAAGAACAGTTCGGGGGGAAAAGCTGCAATAATTTTTAGGGGGAAGGATGAGGAGGAGGGGGGAGGGTTCTGTCAATTATTGTAGATAAAAATTTTCTGATTAAATATTAAATAAAATTAAGCAGTTGTTTTTTTTCTGCTTTGATTGTGCTTAACAGCTGAGGTAGCTTAAACTATTTAAAATAATAATAAAAATAATAAAAATTCAACTCTCTGATGGGAGATAGCTTATTTTTTTTCCCCCTCAAACCTGTCACTGTACATAGCTCTGATCTCTTGTATACATTTGTTTTCTTCCTTTAGTTGCGATCGCTCTTAAGATCATCGGTTTTTATTTGATTTATGATTTTTTTCCCCTTTTTTCTAAAATTATGCTGGTGTGTGGAAAATGTGTAGCTTTGTTGACTGCATTTGCAAGAGATAAAAACAAAGAAACGGAGATGACCGCTAATGTTGTATTGCTTTCTGATGACTGTGCTATGCAGTGTGTGGATTTCCCCTCTCTTGGGGTTGGAGGTGGATAGGGGCAAGTCTAGTTTTCAGAGGTGCTGAGCATTCATTGCTCCCACTAGTCAATAGGAGCTGCCGGAGCACTCAGCACTTCTGGAAATCGGCTCCCTAAGCTTCGAAGGGCTAGTTCATTCTGCCCCACAGACCAGCCTGGCCCAACTCCAGTGGGAGGCCTGGCACTACCAAAAGCCCACAGGGGATGTAGTAGTTGCCACCACTAGAGAGAAGAAGGGTTCCTGCTCCCGCCCTGCCACTCAGGCAGAGCTACCAGCAGTCGCAGAGCAATATTTGGTGCCTTCTGCTCCCCTCTTGTCGCTAGAATTTGCTCCATCACTCCCAGCCACATCCCCAGAGGCAGATCCACCTCAGGAAAGAGCCATGGAAAACATGGCTGCTGAGATGGAGGCCCGGCAGGAGGGATGGGTAAACTATGTGCAGGCAGTTCTCCGTTGCTGAGTCCTTCAGGCCCATATTACGGGGAGAAGGCATTCAGAAGCCTTCTGGGCTTCCTCTCTGAGTGCCGAGGGGGACAGGTCTGGAGCCAGAGCTCTGAACTGGATGCACAGCACAGCCCCAGAGCCTCCAGGTGGCAGGACAGATACTTGCTACTCACTCTCTGCCAGAAAGGCAGCATGCTGGCATGTAGCTTTGTCTCCTTCTGTCACAGAACGTGTATAATTCCTATAGGAGGTGTGGCCCCCTGCAGGCTCTTTGCTTCAGTTAACTTTTCCCCCTAGAACAGTGGTTCCCAAACTTTAACAGCCCGCGAACCCCTTTCACTAAATTGTGAAATCTCGTGAACCCCCTCCTAAAAATGAATATTTTCAGGGATTTAAGTTTAAATTTCCTCAGTGTGATGGATGCCCCAATTGCTGGGCCCCGGAATCTATGAACCTCTGAAAAATATTTTTAATTGAAACTTTTTTTAACGAACATAGAAAAACCAGAAACCAAAGATGTTTCTGTAAAATGTTTTTTTGGCTTTTGTTTAAAAAAAAAATGGTTTCGAATAAAAATAAATTCATTTTTGGTTTTCAAAAATCAGAAAAATATTTCATGAAAACAGTTTTTGAAAATGGACCATTTTTCCATTTCAGTTTTTTGTAAATTTTTCTTGGGGAATTTTGAAAAATGTGAAAAAAATTCAAAACTTTCTGTGAAAAATGCTTGGTATTTTTCACCCACCTCTAGTTTCGGGTGAGGTTGTGGCTGGTGGTAACAAGGAGGGCTGTGGTTCTGGCTTTAGATGAGATTTGGCAAATTCCTGGGGCTCGGGCTGGGGTTCGGGCTGCCGGCTCGCCCGCTGACGGGGCTCGGGCTGCCGGCCCCTACTGCCCGGCCCCGCTCTCCCTGGGGCTCGGGCTGCTGGCTCCCCCGCTGACAGGGGAGGGCTTGGGCTGCCGACGGGGCTCAGGCTGCCGGCTCCCCCGCTGACAGGGGAGGGCTCGGGCTGCTGGCTCCCCCGCTGACAGGGGAGGGCTCGGGCTGCCGACGGGGCTCAGGCTGCCGGCTCCCCCGCTGACAGGGGAGGGCTCGGGCTGCCGACGGGGCTCGGGCTGCCGGCTCCCTGGCTGACAGGGGAGGGCTCGGGCTGCCTGCTCAAACTGCCCGGCCCCGCTCTCCCTGGGGCTCGGGCTGTCTGCCCTGCAACTGGGTCCCAGCAGAGTCCTCTGGCCGCCATTAATGAAATTTTTTTTGCGAACCCCCTGAAATGTCCTGTGAACCCCCAGGGGTTCGCGAACCCCACTTTGGGAACCACTGCCCTAGAAGGTAGCTAGAGTCACAGTAAAATGAGTGATGTGAACCGAAGACAGGTCTGCAAAGCTCTGAGCTTGAGCCCAAAGGGGTCTAAGCCACTTAGCGTGTCCCTGTTCTCCCAGAGGGGGAAAGAACAGAACTTTCAATACAGACCAGGAAAGCCCCAGCCATTCGTGTCACTCCCCGAGGAAATACACTCAATTCCATGACCACAGCCAGAAAGTTGTTTAAGGAGATTTCTTCACCACGTTTGACTTGAGATCCAAACCTCCACACCCCCTCCCCCGGCAGGATTTTTACCGATCACAGATGGGGAACTGAATGTCCGGTTCTGTGCACCAATGGTCATCCTCACATCGGCACCTTGCAGCGCCACCAAGCGGAGTGTGATGAACAAAGGCGGCCTCAGACAAGAAGGGATCTGTGAGAGCCCACGTGGGAGACTGGCTAATAAAATCTGGAGCAGAAAGGGCAGCTTCATCCAGGACGCTAGAAGTCTTCCAAACTACAGGGGCGTTGGCCATCTGGACTCAGCTGGATACGAGACCACACTCTTGGAGGAGGAGTGGCTTTGTGCCAGGGGAGGTGTATCGAAATCATGGATCTGATGAGAGAGCCAGTCCAACACTCTCAGTATTCACCGTGCCCAGGTGGTGTGAGCCTTATTGGGATGCTCATTCCCTACCTCCCCAGGGGCTGCAGCATACGTATTCGTGCTACAACAGTACATGGCACATTACAAGACAGAGGCACCCTGCTGAAATAAGTACGAGGCTCAGACTGTGCAGGGGGAAGAGCTGACAGAAGTGAATTCCCTTTGGATCTAGTCCCCTTCATTCGATCATTGGGGCAAGCTTTCGCATGGGGGGCACCTAAGAGAGACACCACAGTACACAGCCAATGCCATTCAGATGCCTGGTGCAACATGCACACTGTCCTCTCTGTGGGCAGAGCCAAGAAGTTCTTTAATGGGGACCTTGTCTCAGTATATCCATGACTGCTGCCCTGTCAGCTCCTTAAACCAAGGACTTCCCATCCCTCTGTATTCACGCCCTACCCTCCATTTCCTGTACTGCTCCTGGGTGTACAGGAACCCTAGAGAGGCACAGCTGCAGGATAAGCACTGTTCTTCTAGTACCAGGCAGTCCATCCAGAATGCTCGCCAGTCCTCACGCAGGCTCTGCCCTGTCCAGAACTGCAGAAGGTATTCAGGCAACTCTGCAAAAAGCCACATGTCTGAGTCCCATCAAAAGCGCAGGGTCATGTTCTGTGTGAAGACCAAGGAATCCCAGCTAAGAGCCTGGTAGGGTTCTTTGTTAGCCCAACCCACAACATTAGACCAAGGGTCAATTTCTGAACTCCCCTGTGGAACCTAAAGTTGGTATTGGGCCTAGGCTACACTAGAGGGGGGGGTTCGAAGTATCTTAGTTCGACTTACCTGGCCGTCCTCACAGCGGCGAGTCGACTGCCGCGGCTCCCCCGTCGACTCCGCTTACTACTCCTGCCAAGGTGGAGTACGGGCGTCGATTCGGGGATCGATTTATCGCGTCTAGACGAGACGTGATAAATCGATCCCCGATACATTGAACACTACCCGCCAATCCGGCGGGTAGTATAGACGTACCCTTAGATAGAGACACTAGCCTCATCCACATTGCATCTGGAATACCTGCGATCTCTAGCCCTTCTTTGCCTAGCCATCAAAACCACTTTCACAGCCTCCCTAGTCTCAGCGATGAAGGCAGAGGACTAGCCTTTTTAGCTCTCCACAGGCCTTTTTCCTGCTTAGCCTCCAAGCTTCATCTAGCACTAGAAATCTTGCCAAGTTTTCAGCTCGAGGAACTGAAGAAGTCCATACAATTTCCATGCGTAAATGGAGCGGAATGGATTTTAGTTTGAACTGAAGTTACAGAGCCCAAACGGGTATAATGCCCAGTGCAGATTAGGGCTCCCTTCCGGAGGGGGGAACCAGTCTGATGGCTGAGCAGCTAAGGATTTCCACATGCAGCTTCACCTAACACTGAGGAAGGATGCCCTTGTAGTTAAAGGCACAGGCCTGGGTTCCTGGCTCTGTTGCAGGTTTCCTATGCAGCCTTGGAGGATTACAATATCTGACTAACTTCCTGGGAGAAAATAGCAGGAACGACTCTTTAATCTAGCGGAGAAAGGCAAAACAAGAACTAATGGCTGGAAGCTGAAGCCAGACCAATCCAAATTAAACATAAGACGCAGATTTGTACCAGTGAAGGGGATTAGCCATTGGAACAAACTACCAAGGAACGTGGTGGATTCTCTTCAAATCAAGATTGGCTGCCTGTCCGGAAGATTTGCTTTAGCCAAGCAGAAGTTAAGCTCATTACAGGGGTAACTGGGTGAAATGTAATGGCCTGTGGTATCCAGGAGGTCAGACTAGATGATCTGATGGTCCCTTCTGGCCTTAGAATCTATGAATCTGAAATCACTCAAGCTCAAATTGTCAAAAGCAGCCTCTAATGCTGAGTGCCTGGATTGTGGCGCTGCTAGGGCGGGATTCCAGTGGTGCTGAGCACCTACAACGCTTATTGACCTGAGTTGGTGTTTGAGTGCTGAGCGCCTCTGAACATCCAACCCTGGGTGTCTAAAATGGGGTACCTAAAAAACACCAAAGAGGCTAGGACTTTTCAGCTTGGAAAAGAGGTGACTAAGGGGGGATATGATAGAGGTCTATAAAATCATGAGTGGTGTGGAGAAAGTGAATAAAGAAAAAGTTATTTACTTGTTTCCATAATATAAGAACTAGGGGCCACCAAATGAAATTAATAGGCAGCAGGTTTAAAACAAATAAAAGGAAGTTCTTCTTCACACAGCGCAGAGTCAACCTGTGGAACTCCTTGCCTGAGGAGGTTGTGAAGACTAGGACTATAACAGAGTTTAAAAGAGAACTAGATAAATTCATGGAGGTTAAGTCCATTAATGGCTATTAGCCAGGATGGGTAAGGAATGGTGTCCCTAGCCTCTGTTTGCCAGAGGGTGGAGATGGATGGCAGCAGAGAGATCACTTGATCATTACCTGTTAGGTTCACTCCCTCTGGGGCACCTGGCTTTGGCCACTGTCGGTAGACAGGATACTGGGCTGGATGGACCTTTGGTCTAACCCAGTATGGCCGTTCTTATGTTCAGATACACCCAAAATTAGAGGCCACTTTTTGAAAATGTGGACCTTAATCTCTCTGCCTCAGTTTCCCCATCTATTAAGATAAATGTATTCTGTGCATTGCAGTATCACCCACCATGTGCTAGGTGCTGTCAATACACAACTCCCTGCCCCCAATAAGATCACAATCTAAGAAGCCAAGCAACATCCGTAAGGGTAGGAGAGATGGATAAAAAAACACAACCAGAATAAATACCGTCATTCCCAAATGTGTACCTCGACTGGCTGACTTGTGGGCAATGTGGCAGAAATGGGTCTCGAGGGATCCGCAGGAGTGTTGATGTGCTACCTGTTTCTCCAGGATGTTGCGAAGCTACACTTGACAGGCCGTGGATGGAAATCGCTATAGAAGGAATGGTGATGATTATCGTCAGTCTACAATGGGTATTAACACAATGCTAGTCCTCTTCTCTCTGCTCTTGCTATACGCTGCTGCCCTTGTACCTAGAACCCATCTGTCTGGACCAGTGGCAACTCAGATCCCAGCAAGAACATGTTGCCTGGTAAAATCCTGGTGTTTCTGGAACTTGGATTCCCAATCTAGAACCCTGGCCGTGGGTTGAGTAGTCAACAAGCCGGAGAGGTTAGAGAAGGATTTTTTCCTTCTGCTTCGTAAGGCCAAGGAAGATCTCAACGGGAGAAGAGAGGGGGGTGGACACAGATGATGAAGAGGAGGGTACCCAAAAAGTTCAGTGATTGTTGGTGGCTTTGCCTGATTAACAGGTGTCCGGTGGGAGCTGACATGGTGGCTGGATTAGGGGCTTCCCATTCAATCTCCAGATAAAAGCTACTCTTGCTTTTTAGATGCTGTGGTCAGTTGCCGCTGCTCTGTGGAAGGGTCTGTGACTGGAACCTGTGTGTGTGAAGTCAATGCGTGCTTTCCCCAGCATGGCCAAAACCTAGTGACCAAAGGAATTTCCAAACGCTGCCTAAATTCCTATGCTGTAGTGTCGGAGTGTGTTCTGTGGGGTCCCGGGAGGGGTGTGGGACGGGAATGCCATTCAGCTCATTTCCTTTCCTAGTTCTGTCTTGAGCTACTCAGGTGTGAAGAGTTCCTGCAGGGCAGCCCCTTGCTCGCTGAGTTCAGTGTCCTGTGTGCAAAACACCCATGGGAGCTTAGCAGGGGAAAAGCGAGCTTGTTAATTAAAATGAACTGTGAGCAGCAGTTACTTGACAAGGCGCGTTTTAAGGATCTGAGATCACCTACTAGTCATGTGGGGCTGGGCTTGTCTTTTAACACAGCTGTAAATAACAATCCCACGGTGATGTGCACACGTGGTGCAGTTCCTTACTGACTTTTCTCTCTGCACTGGTCTCTTTCCAGTCCCTGTTGGATGCCTGCCCCAGAAAGCAGCGTAGTCTAATGATTACTGTGTGTTTGTGGGGGGAGGGTCCAGGACTCTTGCATTCCAGCCCCAGCTGTGCTACTGACCAAAGCAGGAGACAGGTGGCAGTCAACCAGAAACCAGTGTCTACAGGGCCCCCCGACACATATGTGCCAATCTACCAAGTGCAGAGCAGTCTCTTTTCCTGGCCAATCAGCCATCTTTAAAAAACATGTTTCATTTTGTTTGGCATTTGCATGTGCACGATACTATGTGGTGCTAACACCAAAATGTCTCCAGACATAGTTGGCAGCTAGCAATGCATCTTGGGATCTCTAGCATGTGAGACGTGAGTATGAAGACTGCTGCCCAGAGGAAGTGTATAAATGCAAAAGACCAACAGATCCTTGGGATGGGTCCCAGAAACTGTTTGGCCAAGCTCTGGGATGTAAAGACGCTAAGAATACACTTGGATTTCAGCTAAGTAGGTGCTATTCTACAGAAACCATTCAAGTATTCAGTCATCGCAACACATGCTCATGAATTGGTATTGAATCCCACCGACAGATCCAGCAGTAACACCAGGAAACAATCCCCTCCCTCGAGCCAATACAGCTTCTTACCCCTTCACGCCACAACAACAGATTAAGATTTGTGAGCAGGAGCCCTGATCCTCTAATTGGATTTGTGCAGACAGCCCCCTATACCCGAGCAAATATAGGGTGAGAGGCAGCTGTTTTGCAGCAGAGCCCACCTGGATGCTGGCTGTTTGTTCCTCAGAAGACGTCATTTACCTCTCTGCTGCCTGCACGGGATTTTTTTTTAGTTCAGGGAATAGTTTAAACTAGGTGCGTGTTGGATTTTTTTTTTAACTTGTTTGGAAGTGATGGAAGTGTGAGAACATAGTGGAGTAAATAGAGGAACCAATTCTAGAGATGTAAGTAAAAGAAATTCATTTTGCTTTCTGGTCACTTATGAGCCTATCTCCTCTGCTGGTTTCCCTCTATTCTTATCAAATAAAAAGTACCATCGTATTCTACTAGCGTGGCCCCAAACGCTGTACGAAGAGGGGGATACGGTGGAGTGGTTTGGACCATGACTAGAAAATGCTGTGGGACTGATTAAGAAGTTGACGGTAAAGTTTGAATGTGCCCTTGGTTCCCATTGTGATTTTAAAGGAGGCCCTGAAAAAGGACCGAAAACAGTGGGGTTTTGCCCCTTCTTTATGATGTAAAGGGAAGGCCTGAAAGATTGCTGGTTTGGATTCCTTTTATATTTATTTGGCTGCTCATTGTTTACATTATAAATTCAGGTCTTGTCTGCCCTGTTTCTCCTGAGCAACTCTACGGAAGACTGGAGAATTTAGGAGATGATGTAAGAAACTATGCAGATGTAACGTGATTAAGAGGGGAAATTATTTCAAATGAGACTGTTTAACTCATCATAACAAACCATTGGAAGAAAAGCTCTTTTCTTAAAATTCATCTCTCACTCACTCTCTCTCTCTCTCCCTTCCCCCCCCTCCTTTAATTAAGAGCTCAGAGAGCTCCTAATCCAGAGATCTGAATCCTCCAAGGAAGAACAAAAGGAGGAGGTTTGACATTCCTGATGTTTAGGGGTTTAGGGTAAAAAGCAAGCGGATAAATAACCTTTTTAAAGAGTTTAAAAACAACCTCCCTCTCCTCCCCCCCCCCCAAAAACACCTTTCAGAGAAAGTGCTCAAACCTATGTTTTCCTCTTAGATCACACCTTTCAAAGTAGCTGGGGCTGCCTGGAAATGGACCCTTGTAAAACCCCACAACTCCCTAGACTTGCCACCAACCCAGGTAGAGAAGTATGTCACAGCTTCAGCCTTTACTTAATGTTTGTAAAGCACTTCAGAGCTGAAGCAAGCCTCACAAACGTGTTGAGTAATAATGATCTTAATCAAGGGGAAATAATGATTTGAATGCTCATGCTCCAAGGAAAACCTATGCCTGCAATCTTAGGGGGAACCAACTGATTGGTACTGGAGTCTGAGGCCTTATCTCTACTAGCAAGCTCCATAGCTATAGTTCATCCCTTGTGCAGCCCCTGCAGAGGGAAACCATAATGCAGACAGGGTGTGACGAGGGTAATCACACTAGAATCCTGTCTACACTGAGGCACTTCCATGATTGCTCTCAGGGTTGGGGCTGGACAATGTTAACTGTGTAGTTTGGGGAAGACAGCTCCTGATCTCTGCAACCAATCGTGCCACTGTATTAAAAGATCGGCGTGGTCGGGACAGTGGTTGTACATCTTGTCTGAGCAATGGTGCCTTTAGTTCCACGCGTGGGTTTGGTATTGACTCAGTGAGGAGGGCATCAAGAACATTACCTTGCCTGACCTCAGTGGGATGCCGTCCACCCGTCCCCAGCTGCCATGGCATAAGATGAGCCGATGGCCCTGGTTCTGTTCTTGTGCAGCACTTCCAAACCATCCTCAGACATCTCAGAAGCTTTCACGTGCACCGTGATCAAACAGCAACAATGCTTTAGAAATGCCTGGATGAAAGCAGGGGCAGTGCCTATTAAATAGCTTCAGTAGCAGCACTGGGGGTCCTACATGCTGCTATGGCCTGTAACTCGGGTCCCTGAAACATGGGTAGCTTTAGGTTACATTACAGTCACAGCTTTCCATCTAGGGAGGAACTAACTACTAGTTTTGAAGCTGGGAGTGTTGTTCTCAGTACCCAATTGCTGTCTCTGCTGCCCGATTAGACTAAACGTTAGTGAAGCTATTATTTCCTCCCTATTAAAAAAAAAGGGGGGGGAATCATGACAATAAGTCAGAGAATATGAATCCTGACTTCCTGCCCGTTTTAGGTTGGCGTGACTAGCGATGCCAACAGAGTTACTCCCAATTTACGGGGATGAGAAGAGAATCAGTCACTGGAGATCCTAATTATTTTCTTTTAAAAAGTGCTTCATGTTTGTTAATTGCTTTTTTTTAAAACTTCCCATAGAGGAAAGCAAGTTTGCCATTCTTAAAAATTGTCCCCAAATAACCCTAAGGCACGGATTTGTATTTTGGTTTGGCTAGAAAACTGTTTTATCTTCACTGATCCTACTTAAAGTTGAATTCACATTACACCGTGAAAAATCTCCTCATTAGGTTTCCCCTGCTTAGGGTAAATGGAGATAAAAGATGGGAAATTGATCAATCTTGCATTTAACAGCTCTAATGTGCAATGAGGCATTTAAAGAGCACTTTTGTCTTAAAATAAATGCCATTTTTAAGTGAGACTTGTTTTGAATATTTTTCCTGTATTTAAAATGAGGCATATTTCTTCAGCTGCTTTACTATTGCTTTCTGCTGTTACAGTATCAGCTTTATTCAATGTTTAATTATACTGTTTATTGTAAATAAAGTCATTTAAAAATTGGCTTTCTATTGCAGTCTGCTTACTCCATTCCTTACAAGGGCCGCTGAACTGAATTAAATAAGAAACCTATAGAACATAAAGGAGAAATGAGAGTGAAAATGCCATCCATCCCAGGCAAGTAAAACTCGGCTAAGCCCTTCTCTCATGAGGCTCCCTGTTAGTCTCTGGGGGAGGGACAGGCCTGCTCCAATCCCAGATGAAAATAAATATGGCCTTGCTCTGCACCACTAGTCAATTGGAATAGTATTTTGCCCTATTGTAGGAAGGGAGATTGATGAGGCTCAGGACACTTGGCTTCTACCCCCAAATTCTCTACTGACTTGCTGGGTGTCCTAGGGTAATTCACTCCCTCTCTCTGCCCCTCATTTACAATGGGGATATTACCTCACAAGAGCATGGTGACTCAATTCTTTAATGGCTGCCCCATGCTTGGAGGTCGTCCTTGGCTGAAAGTCACTCCCCGAGGGAAAATAATTGTTAGACCCTGGCATCCCTTTCAGGGAAGGGTCCCCCAGTGGAACTGCCACTACTGTGATCATTTAAATGAACTTTATTTGCTGTTCAGCCCACAAGGTGATGGCCCCTTATGAAAAAGCCCAATCGAGTCCTCCATGAATAGCTCACTGCATGAGTTGCAGAGTTTGGCCCAGTTGTGTAGAATACTGCAGTGGTTTTTCCTCACCCTGTTTAACCTTATTTATATGGAGGTAGCCATGATATAGCGCAGCTTGACTTTTGTGGCGCAACGTAACTTACACTGACTCACATGATTCTCTACCTTAGTAATGTATCAGTAGAGCTCTTGTTAAAGCTGGTGCCTCACCTGGCAGCCAACGGCATTTTCTTTACTGAGAGAGATTTTGCTTATGTGGCTGTGGTGAGGTGGAGGATTACTGATCAGGCCACAGGTGCACGCCCCTTTCAGAGGGCTAGCTACAACCATGCTTTGTTCCCAGGCCTTGAGTGGTATTTGAAAAGCCAAAGGCACCACCCACAAGCACCTCTTCCACTCGCTCGTGATCAGGGGCAGCAGAAATCTTGTCAGTACTAAAACCTGAAGTAGCCTGCAGGTACTGGTTTGGTTCCTGCACCATGGGGCAGAACTCAAGGCCATCACGTAGCCAACGACATGCTTGGTTTGCAGCTAAGAGAGAGTGAGTGCTGCATGGGATACATCTCCTCCCACTGGCCTGGCAACTGCATGGCTATGAATCCCAGAGGAAAGTTGCTCTGATGGAAAGAGGATGGGAGGAGGTTTGAAATGGTGATTCCTTGGGGCACGTCTGCTCTGGCTTTCACGAGTGGCTGCAGAAGCAGCTGTACTTGGATGTTTGGGATCTATAACCCCTCAACCCAGATCAAGGGGTCTCTTAGTACCAGAGCTCAGGATGCAAACCCAGTAAGCTAAAGCCAGAGCAAACATGAGACTGGTGAAGAAAACCATGTTTATTTTCAACCCAGTTCCATTGAAATAAGAACTGCCAATTCACAGCCACACGGGAGCAAATGAGACTTACCTGCATAAAGAACTAACCTGGTTTATGAAAACAAAGTCAAGCCTTTTCTATCAAGAACTAGGCTGCATGGGGTCACATATGGAGAGGGATTGAGGGAGTGGGGCTCTCTCTCGCCAGCAGTGCTAGCATCTTACTTTTTGTAGCTTGGACAGTGCTTTTAGATCCGTCTGTTTCCCATTCTAGCTCTGGGCCAGTAGCCCAGTGTGGCTGGCTTTGTAACAACACATGGGGAAATCCTATCCAAAAAAATACCTTCGCTAACCCCCTCTTTGAAGAGCATCACTAACCATTTCTATCCCTATCATATTAACCCCTTGAGGGTCACATGGCTTGAACCAAGACACTTAGGTTTATTTAAAACTCCCCATTAGACCCTGCAACCATGTGGCATAAGAAATTGCCAGAAATGAGGCCTAATGCAAAACGCATTCGCGCTTAACACTGGGAGCTTTGAATAGTTGTCTCAGAGGGCAAAGCTGTAGCGTCAGTAACAGCTCTCCTTCCCTCCTCTCACCACTTGTATTTACTCATTCCTTATGTTACAAGAACAGATTTTTAAGCTTTCCCTTCTCTTTTGCTTAGGGGAAAACAACATCAGGGCTTCCGCTGGATGCAGAGCTGCAGCAGCTAAAACAAAGGTAAAAGGGGTGAATCTGGGGGAGAAGCCTGATTGTTGAGTGCTCCCTGTACGTAGCAAGAGGTTAAGAAAAGCGACCAAGGCTGAGCAGCAGCAGAGCTGACAGTGTCACACAGGGCAGCTATTTGACAGTTATGATCCCTCATACAGAAATCAGAGATGGAAGAGATCAGTTAGCTCATCCCCTCCACCCCCTTGTGACTGATGCAGGAATGTTCCTTCCAGCATGCACTAGATAGAGATTAAGTCATCGGGGCTTCAAAGCTCCAGAAGCTTTTCCTTGTATTCAACCTACATTTTCCCCTTTCTTGATTTCATTCTGCGACGCCCCCTTTCTTAGCATTTGCTCATTTCAAATCCTTGTAAGTAGTGCTGTCCTCACCCCCCTCCATTGGCAGCTATATTATGGGGAAGTAAGTGAACAGCAGGCAGTGCCATACAGGCAGCTGGATCTTATCTCAGGGCCCAAATTGTAGGTTGTGGCAAGTTACATAATACTGCCAGTAGAGAGCTACCCCCCCCAAACAAACTCTGGGTAACTATCAAACAGCTGTGGACAATTCTTCTGCTTCACAGGGAGGCAATGGAAGGGAGAAAGCAAGGCAGCGGTAGTGTTGAGACCTACAGCACAATAGAGTACCACAGATTGCAAACCTGTGTGTAACTGCAGGCCTGTTATGCGATACTGTAGCTATGATTTTGCGCTGCCTATGCAGAGGCATCACCCCAGCTGTTAGAGGGCTGACTGCACATGAGTGCCTCATTATTTGGAAGACCCTGGATCCCTACAAACTGGAGAGAGCTCAGAGAGAAGCAACAAGGAGGATGAGAGGCCTGGAGGAGCTGACTTAAGGGAAGACGGAACTAAAACAGTTCCAGCAGGACTGAAAGAAACTAAAGGACATCTCGCTACTACCTATTCTCTATGGGCCATGGCAGGAGAAGAATTCAGCACCAGAGATAGCAGTAATGCGGTGAAATTTAGGCTGAATGTCCGAGAAAACTTCTGCCCTAGAAAGCAAGACCTGTTGGTCTAAGGAATAATTTCCCCCTGGATGCAGTGGATTTCTGGAGACATCTAAAAATGAGAATTGACACAACCTAGTAAATTTGTTGTAGGGAAAAAGCCCACTCTGGCTGGGACACAGACTAAGTGTCCCATTACATCTTTTCCATCTTTGCTCACTGCAATTTTGATGGCTCAAGGCTGATACATGAATATTTATTCTGGAATAAGCTGCATACATACATTCCACCAAAATCCCTTTCCATGGAAGTGAAAGACATGAGTGTTTCATCATCTCCATTGAGGATCATTGGCTTTAACAGCAACATGCAGTAAAAGCGTTATATGGTTTTTCAGCAGATGCATCTTAAAATGATGCTTTTAGGAAACATGCAGCTTTATTGTCTCCATATATATCTATCATTTTTACAGCCAGACACACCCAGGAAAGCTACATGTTCTGGTTAAGTCTGTACGACACTATGAAGGTGAGGGGTCTATAACGGGAAGGCAGGGTAAAGGTCATTTGAGCAATTTGAACTTCTTCAGATGTTGGTGCACTTCCTCCTTGGGGTAGGGTCTGAGTGCGATGCAAGTAGCTATGTTCTCTGGCTGCTCTAGCCACACTTTGTGATCGATGTTGTGTTGCTTCAGAGTCTCAGCTAGCGTCATCAAGGCACCCACATCCAGGGCCTAGAGAACAAGGAGGGGTGAAAAATTCACTGTGAGCTCAATGTGAGATTGCCATGGGAAGCCAGCAGTAAAGGCAGCCCTTGTGCCAACTGATCAGAACTTCCACCTCCATACTGCTCCTCCCCACACACGCAGACAATTCTAACACCACTTTCTAGTTACACAGTATCAGAAGGATCTCAAAGCACTTCAACTGCATGTGCAAAATCTAGAGAGAATTAGCACCCGCATGCAACTGAAATGCAGCCAGTTCTGGGATGGAATGTAGCAATCGTTGCTGGGGCAGAATACTTCATAGCTTTTTAGGAAGAGAAAAAGAATAACTCTGCCAGTGAAACTTCAAAGGGACTCACACAAAGTTAGCCAGGACATAGTAGTAACCCTGCCATGAGTACCTAGCGTTCCTTAATGGAGGCAAGGCCTCCATTTTATATATTTGTCCAAAATAAGTCCAATTCTTGAGGGTAACTCAAGTCTGCAATTCTGCCTATGGGAGAGAAATCCTACCACCAAAAAATACCAGGAGTGATTGGCAGAATCTGCTTTCCTGTGATTCAAGGAGCAGCTATGGACAATTACTGGGAAAAGTGTCACCACAGGGCACAGGTGATTAGTAATATAACATGCTGGGGAGTGCACAGCACTTTGCAGATCTCTCAGTCTGTGTCCTAAAAAGCTCAGAATCTAAGGTTTAATCTATACTACAAAATAATCATGCACCCCAGCTGACATAGCTAGGCCAGCAAATCCCCTGATGTATATGCAACTGAGCCAACAGAAGAGTGCTTCTGATGGTATAGCTCATACTGTTCAGAGCCGTGGTTTAGCAGAAAAACCTCCTCCTGTCAGCTTACACTGCATCTACACTAGGGGGCACTGCCCATCTAGCTATTAAAAAAAAATTTTAGTAGCATAGACAAGCCCTAAGTATGGGCTTTAAATGGGATCAGATGCTTAAATGGAGGTGAATTTTGATTGCATCTGGAGTGGGATTAGGAGCTCTCTTCCAGGGGACTGGTGGGCATGGACTCTGATGGAGGATTTATTAGACAATCATAGAACTGGAAAAGACCGAGAGGTCATCTAGTCCAGTCCCCTACACTTCTGGCAGGACTAATTATCTAGACCATTCCTGACCGGTGTTGGTCTAACCTGCTCTTAAAAATCTCCAATGATGGAGATTTCACAACCTCCCTAGGCAATTTATTCCAGTGCTTCACCACCCTGACAGGAAGTTTTTCCTAATGTCCAACCTAAACCCAATGCTTCTTGTCCGATCCTCAGAGGTTAAGAAAAGCAATTTTTCTTCCTCATCCTTGTAACAACCTTTTACGTACTTGAAAACTTATGTCCCCTCTGTCTTTTCTTTTCCAGACTAAACAAACCCAATTTTTCCAATCTTCCCTAATAGGTCGTGCTTTCTAGACCTTTAATCATTTTTGTTGCTCTTCTCTGGACTGTCTCCAATTTGTCCACATCCTTCCTGAAATGTGGTGCCCAGAATTGGACACAATACTCAAGTTGAGACCTAGTCAGCGCAGAAGAGAGCAGAAGAATTACAGTAACTCCTCACTTAATGTCCTTCCGCTTAACATTGTTTCAAAGTTACGTCGCTGCTCCATTAGGGAACATACTCGTTTAAAGTTGTGCAATGCTCCCTTATAACATCGTTTGGCTGACTTTTTGCACAAGTTCCTCTTCTCTGCCTCCTCCCCTTCCCTTCCTCCCTCCCTCCCAGCGCTTCCCCCATGGCCAAACAGCTGTTTGGTGGCACTTAGGACTTTCTGGGAGGGAGGGAGGGAGGGAGCGGGGAAGCTTCCTCCCCCACCCCCCTGCAGGCAGGGCCACCCAGAACGCAGGGGCTTTAGGGGCTGCAGGGCCCTGGGCTGCGGCTCTAAAGCCCCTTTCGGAATACGGCCCTGCGAGCACGGGCCGGAGGACTCAGGAGGAGGAGGGGCAGCCATGCAGCCAGCGGCCGGAGAGAAGCGGCACTTTCCCCTTCAAAGTGGTGCTTCTCTCCGGCCAGCTTTGAAGGGGAAGCGGTGCTTCTCTCCGGCCAGCTTTGAAGGGGAAAGCGCCGCTTCTCTCCGGCCGCTGGCTGCCCCTCCTCCTCCTGAGTCCTCCGGCCCGTGCTCACAGGGCCATATTCCGAAAGGGGCTTTAGAGCCGCAGGCCAGGGCCCTGCAGCCCCTAAAGCCCCTGTGTTCCAGGTGGCCGTGCCGGGGGGAGGGGGGGGGCACAGCTCCCAGAATTGCAGCCATGGGGGCGGTGCCGCACTGTGCAGAGCCACCTGCACATCCCCTGCACCAAACAGGAGCTGCCCCAGGTAAGTGTTCTGCACCTCCTGCCTGCCCCAGCCCTGAGCCTCCTCCCGCACCCCCACCCTGAGCGCCCTCCCACACCCTAACTCCCTCCCAGACCCCGCACCCCACCCTGAGCCCCAGGGGTAAGCCAGGGGCACCCCACCACAGTACAGTACTGTACAGTATAATGCCTTTTGTCTGCCCCCAAAAAAATCTCCTTGGAACCTAACCCCCCGCATTTACATTAAATCTTACGGGAAAATTTGATTCGTTTAACATTGTTTCACTTAAAGTTGCATTTTTCAGGAACATAACTACAACATTAAGTGAGGAGTTACTGTATTTCTCGTGTCTTGCTTACAACACTCCTGCTAATATATCCAGAATGATGTTTGCTTTCTTTCTGCAGTACTCCTTCCTAGACAGTTATTTCCCATTTTGTACATGTGCAACTGATTGTTGCTTCCTAAGTGGAGTACTTTGCATTTGTCCTTATTGAATTTCATCCTATTTACTTCAGACCATTTCTCCAGTTTGTCCAGATCATTTTGAATTTTAATCCCATCCTCCAAAGCAATTGCAACCCCTCTCAGTTTGGTATCATCCTCAAACTGTATGCCATTATCTAAATCATTGATGAAGATATTGAACAGAACCAGACCCAGAACTGATCCCTGCGGGACCCCAGTCTATATGCCCTTCCCGCATGACTCTGAACCACTGATAACTACTCTAACTAATCCAATCAACATGTTTTGGATGGGCACCTAGATACCACTATTAGCACAACATACACCTCTACCCTGATATAATGCGACCCAATATAACATGAATTCGGCTATAACGCGGTAAAGCAATGCTCCGGGGGGGTGGCGCTGCGCACTCCGGTGGATCAAAGCAAGTTCGCTATAACGCGGTTTCACCTATAACACAGTAAGATTTTTTGGCTCCCGAGGACAGCGTTATATTGAGGTAGAGGTGTAAATGGAGATGATTATT